CTTTTTGGTTGTCTGTCCCCCAGGGAGGAGGTCACACACAGTTCCATGTAATTGGTTCCCTCTTCTACCATTTTAACTTATGGACTCGCATTTCCAAGGCAGCATGTCTGCTCCCTAACACTGTTACCTGCCCTGTGGAGGGAGGGGTATACAACACTTCACTGATTCACTGTTCATTGACTTCTGAACAACAATTGTGGAATGGCACTGCTCGTCATTTGATGTGGGAACTGGTGATGTAAACTTTGTTGGTGTGCCCATATGAATTATGCTATTTGCTATCAAAATCTCTATCACTGTGCTGAAGACGATAGTTGATGCTCTTTCCAGATAGCAGGTATATGATGATGCTTTGCAAATACTCATTTCATGACTGTATTTTAAGTGTGAGACAGTATAAGTCACTTAATTATAGAATTCGTAGCCTTGTGAGTGTATACCCATTCCGTCCACAATCTGAGTAATCATCAAATATTTGAACAAGTGGTGTGCAATAAAAACTTTGATATTGAATGTTCATTGGCCATAGTTATTATAATGTAAATAACATTGTAACTTTTTTTTTAAAGAGTTGTAAATAGAATAAAAGTGTTGTCTGAATAAATGGCAGGGCAGCTGATCCCATAGGATTCCTTCATTTACATAGCTATGTTAGGAGACTTTATAGAATGGAAAGTTATTGATGGTGCTTTGGAAACACCTGTCTTTAGTGTAAGCCAAAAGGTCTGCCTTTCCTCTGATCAAGGAGTTAAGCATAGTATTTTCAGGTTCGCCCAGTGTTTAGAATATAAACAGAGCCAACCCTAGGCTCAGCACTGTATCATCACGAAGCTGCTGCTCATAACTACACATCACGTGCGATATGCTGTAGACTCCGTGTATAATTTTAGTTCTAGAACACCTGTCATTAGTATTTGATGAAAGTGTTATTCTGCCAGTCGTAGTGGTTAGTTGCATTTTCTTTTAAAAGTGGAATGTAGTCATGTACAGTCTGTCCGTTTTTCATGAGTGTGCTTATACTGTCCGTCTCTTCTTTTCCTGTTGGTTTTCCCTGTTTGCTATCCACAGTGTCCCCCAGGAATGAAGCAGCAGGTCTTGGTTTTCTACACTAAGCTTCTGGGAAGAATCCGGCAGCCACTGCTTCCACACATCAATGTCCATAGGCCAGTGCAGGTGTGTTGTAAATCATTGATAAGTTTTGTGGCCTGGTTTCTTTTTGTGTAGAAGTAATCATATATATATATATATATATATATATTTCTAAAACTAACATGCAGATTAGCAAATATTTGAGTTTTCATTATTGTTTTAAGAGCACTTCATGCCTTTATAGTTCTCTGTAAAATTTTCACACGTTAAGGTTTTGAAAAATACATCTTCAAAAAAAAAAACCACCTCCATTGGTTGACAGGGGAGGGAAAATGAAGCCCACTTGGATGAAGGGGGGAGGGGTTCATCCACCAGAGAGAAAAGAGAAAGGAGGGGCGTGGGGTAGGGGAGCTATGGGGGCAAAGGATGGAGAAGTAGTTTAACTTGTTTAATACAAAACTGATCATATAAAATGTAAACACCACCACCTCAGAGTTTATTGTACGTCTCATTAATTGTTTAAGATATTGTAATCTATTTGAAAATTTAAAATATCCTTAAGATACATGGATGGCTATTTGTATGCTTGTGAAAGTAACCTACATTTTTTTGTTTTCTGGTTTTTTGGACAGAAATTAATTCGGCTTTGTGGTGAAGTTCTTGCAACGCCGACGGAAAATGAAGAAATTCAGTTCCTTTGTATTGTGTGTGCAAAGCTGAAGCAAGATCCCTACTTGGTTAACTTTTTTCTTGAGGTATGGCACGTTCCTTGTCAACCTTCCAAAGAGGCCTGTCTTAGAATTAGAATTGAATTCTGTGAAGACATTCTTTGTTGGGCGTCAGACCGATTGTTTTACATTTTACAGAATGATTGTACATTTAAGATCGCTGTTTTATTCCAACTTGAACTCTCCTGACACAAAAGAATTTCAGGGCATCAGTTGAGCCGAGCAGATGGCTGCTTTTTGATGGATGGGGCGCTTTCACCGTTGGGCCCCTGCAGGTCCCGGGGAGGATTAGAGAGAGCGCAGTTGGAAGGTCCACTTAGGGGTGGGGAGTCACGGAAGTTGGTGTTTTACTTTCAGCCAAGCTTGCTGTCAGGTGTATTGTGGGAAATCTAGCCCGGGCGAAGGAAGGCACCCCTCGGATTTGGACAGGTGGGAGGAATGACTGTGTACCCTCTCCAGCCTGCCCACCACAACCCTGGGGATGACTCTGCTGTTAGTACTGCCTTTTAACAGCCACCATCACCGAGTTTACTCCACTCGGTTGATAGTTTAGATTTTACTTCCAGTTTTGAAGTAGCAAATGACTTCATGTACTTCATTTTTCAGGTACAATCATTACAGGGGGAAAATTTAAAAATTAGGTTCTTGGTTTTGTTTTTGGCTTTTTAAAAAAGCACTTTTTATCTTCTTTTCTTTTAAATGGAAATATAAATTATTTACTGTACAGTTCACTCTTTCTGACCCACCACCAAACCAGCTACTACCAGTTGGTTTCCATCGCGACCCATGGGCGTAGGAGCAGAGCTGTGTTCCATCGGGCTCTGCATGTGTGTGATCCTTCGGAAGGAGAAGGCCAGGCCTCTCTTCCGAGGCACCCCTGGGTGGGTTCAAGCTGTCAACTTCCCCGTGAGTAGCCAGGTGCTGTACTGTGTAGGACGCCCAAGGACTCCCCTCTGGACGCAGCTCTGTGGATTTGGACAAGCATGTGCAGCCATATAACCACCACATTGCAGACGGACCATAGCGCCTTCGCCCTAAAGAATTCCCCACACCCCTTTACCTCCATCCCTGGGGCAACCCCTGGTGTGTTTTATATTCCAATGGTTTTGCCTTTTTTGGAAACCCTAGAGATGTAATCAAGCTTTGAGGCTGGCATTTTTTTCAGGGCTTCAAACTGGTACCCTACGCCCACTGCAAAATGGAAGCCGGCCAGGCCTCGCGGCCAGCATGCTTCCCCCCAGCCCCCTGCCCATGTCCACCTGCCATATCAAGCTCCTGACCTTTCAGGAGGAAGGACTGGCCGGACTTCCAGAGAGCAGCAGTATTGGCAGAGCTTTTCTCAGAGAGCAGCCTACGTTCAGAGTGGCATGGTAGGCAGCCATCTTTGAGTGGGGCCAGCTGTCTTGTTTGCTTCCTGGGTCAGAGTGCCCTGGCAACAGATTTGGTGACTGTGCAACGTGAACTGGCCCTTGTTTCTAAGGCAGTTACTAAAGCACCCTTAGCCAGTTCGAAGCTCTGATTTTGAACTTAACGTCACGTGTTGGCGATGCAGCCCTGCTTTTGTCCCGCTGTCTGACCCAGTCCCCAGCTAAGAGATTTCTGGATTCTTTCTAATTCGTGGCAATTACGAAGAAAGCCACAGTGAGCATCCGCATTCCGGTTTTCACCCGTGTCCAGGTGGTTTCATTTCCCTGTGGTGAATGCTGTGGGATGGGGCTGCGTATTCGACCTCTCGAGGGGCTGACTCCCGCCTCCCATCCCGCCAGTCGTGTGTGAGAGCTCCCGCCGTCCCACGTCCATGTCAGCACCGGGGACCACCAGGGCCCTGTCTTTTTAGCTGTCCCTACAGGTGCCATTCCTTTTCTACTTCACACTAAGGGGTATGTGCTTCAGGATCCTCTCTGGCCCGACAGGAGGTAGGTGAGCAGCTCAGGTGCCAGATCACCTGAATGGAAACACAGGTCTAGGCACGCACGCCTGGCTTTCCCCATGTGCAGCCAGGGTCTGCTTCAGCGTGGCTGCCTCGCCTGCGTAGGACTGCAGGTGCCTGAAGAGTCAGGCAGCAGGGCAGTGTCACAGTTCTTTCCATTTTTAAAATGTAGAAGAAGTACCTCAATTGGGCTAAGAAGAGACTCTTCTTCTCCATGGTCATTCTATTTCCGGGCCGTAATTTTCCCTTGTCACAGTCCTTTGTGATGCATTGCTTCAGTTGTTAGACACGCTGAATGCTGATGGTAGACAATTACGTCAGGACTGTGATTTCCGGTGAGTAGGCCATGGGTGTGAATCTCAGAGCATGTCCTCCCTTACAGAATAAGCTGAAGTCTTTGGCTTCCAAGGGAACACCAGACGTAACCTCAGAAGACTCGTTGAGAAGTCAGGAGGCCTTGTCGACAGACACAGGACAGCCCGGTCGGCCAGAGGAGCCATCCGGTGCGGCAGGAGTGGAGTCAACAGAGCCAGAGGACGGGCCTGCGCATCCCATGGACGAGCTGTCCACCAGCCTGGATCATCTCTGCGTTGCATCTCTGTCCGAGGCCTCCATGGTCCGTCTGAACCAGGACTACAACCTAGTGAATTCTCTACTGAACCTCACCCGAAGCCCGGTGAGTGGTCCTCCTTACCTTTGCCCACCCCCAACCACCTCTCCTAACGGGCCACAGGAGTCAGCATGTAAAATACAGAACAAAGCAAAAACACCTATTCTTCTTTTTTCCCATCACTTTATTGGGGGCTCGTATGACTGTTATCACAATCCATACATACATCCATTGTGTCAAGCACATTTGTACATTTGTTGCCATCATCATTCTCAAAACATTTGCTCTC